CTTATAGGCCAGTACGGGTGTGCCTATGGTAACACGGCCGTGCTGCCTGTGCTATGTAATCAATGCACGGCACTTGAACTTCCTTAACTCCTCGGACTCCGGTCAAGGCTAGCTCTGTTACGCATCAAGGGCTCGGGATCCGATTAAACTCGGTAAATATTACCTGAAAACACATCAAAAACAAACCGAAAACCCGTGAAGCACGTAATATGGGGAACGTAAGCATAACAAGGTAATAATCGGCCAAAGCGGCCCCAAATACATCCAAAATCATCCTAAAATATGCTCTAAAGCGCGCCCTAAAGTGCGCTTGTCATAGAGTAGAAAGAATTTTTGGAGAACTTGTTGAAGTAAACTTTTCAGACAAGAAAATTTTACAGAAAGGGAAATTAGATACACTTTGCATATTTATGAGAAGTAATTTATGAGAAGTATATATTGAAATAAATGTCCTGGACACTCAGAAATTTTAATTACCGCAATTTGAAAATTGCTTCAATGTCCTTTCAAAATTCACCTAAACTGTTACTTGATGAATCTATCGAAGGTTAAGATGGTAATTTTGTTCTAACTATCGCTTGATTTGCAATTGTTACATTGAGCCCTAAAACGCATCGTTTAGGTTTGCGTTTCTCAATTCCAATTGAAATCAATTTATGCGAGACTTTGACAAACCATTTGCATCGTTTTATGTTTGAACGAAAATCAAATGGTACAATTTAACTAAATCTTCAACGCTCGGGTAAACTATAAAAACCTTTCAAAATATCCTTGACACAATCTTGTCATCATTCACTCTCTGATCTTCCCTTTCTTCAACCCTTAGTTCTTTCGAAACTTTCAAAGTGAAAACATGGTTTTTCCTTCTTTGAAAGAAGTACTAGACTCCTTCAAAGTCAAAGAATGTCCAATTGAGGCTCATGAATTATATGAGTTGATTGGTAAATACCCTCAGAATTTCAGACCTGGCTTCTTTTAGCATATCTCGTCTTCCACCACTAGTTTTGGCATCATAAAAGGCACAACTTGTAATACCCTGACCCCAAATAAGAGTGGGGCCTATTATCACGAAATGCGCATCTAGGACCAATAACTTCCCTCATAAACCAACACAAGTCCTTTCGGCGCATTTTGTCCTCACTCACCTAAGAAAACTTCCCATGAGATTACCCATCATAAGATTACTCCCTGTCAAGCACTCTTAACTGAGATGTAACTTAGCATATGTGCTCTGTAAAAGAAATATGCATCTTGTTGGTATGAGTAGTATATTAAGTTCCTTTAAAGCAATCATGAGGGGTATTACATACACCCCCACTTGAGAATGGCAACGCCCTTGTTGCACCTGGAACCCTAGGGACCCCAGTATTATGCTTAATGGCCTCTAGGTATCCAAAGTGTTACATCTAGTCTAGATACGACCATATAGCCCCAAAATCCTCCCCTGCTACATAGGATTAATTATCCACAATCATCACGCGATCGCAGGATTGCTCTGGTACCATTTGTAACACCCCAACCCCAAATCAAGGTGGGCTTATTGTCATAAAATGCGCATCTTGGACCATCAACTGCCCTCACAGACCAACACAATCCTTTTGACGCATTTTTTCCTCACTCATGCGCACCTTGGGATCGGAAAACTTCCCAAGAGGTCACCCATTCTAAGACTACTCCCAGCCAAGCACACTTAACTAAGAAGTATCTTAGCATACGAGCTCCCTAAAAAAAAGATGCAGCTTGTTGGTATGAGTAGTATATTAAATTCCTTTAAAGCAATCATGAGGGGTATTACGTAGCCTCTATTGGGCCAACATTCAAGTTTGATTTTTCGTACTTGGGTAAAGCCATGCTCCGCCCTGCAGCGTTTATTAACTTAAACTCAAGCGGCAATTGGATATTAAGCCATAATCTAATTAAAGGTTGGGTTTAGGACCTCACTGCCGGGGGTCGGTTTAAATAACTCTCTAAGTTCCATCCCAAACGGGAGAAGAAGAAAATTTATAGTTTCCTTAGACTAGTGACATATGGCAAAATTCCATGTAATGGATCCCTAACATGTGCCTTGATATTGTTATGGGATCTTGTGTTAAATTGCTTCATCCTGCGATAGGGTTGTATGACTGTGACCCTTACTGACATTACTTTCCTTACTAGTTTGTCCCCTTACAGCAATAAAGACTAGCAAGTTAATTAGAGTTTTCAATGTCATTGAAGGCACTGGACCCTTGCACAAAAGGTGTCATGATCTTCTGAAGAAGATTTTGGCGACATCCAAGAGTAGCAAGGTCAACCTCAATGCTTTTATCTTATATTTCACATCATCATCATACTAAACTGGAGTATCATCTGTGGAAGAGGTACCACTCTTCTTTGTATTCGCTCTTACTCGTTTAATGATGTGCAAATCTAGTGGCATTTCTCCACCGTTATTGCCACTTGATGTGAATATAACTTATAGTAGTTCCTTCGTAGCTTTAGGTCCGATTTTATTAGGACAATTGTACATATGTCTATTTAGATGAAAAGAGGCCCTCATTTAGGTTAAAATTTAGAAAACACTAGGGAACCTTTGTTGTTGATTACTTGTTAGGGTCATTATACACCACTTTGTGCATAGAGAAAACTGAAGAAGAGGTTACGAAAGAAATGGCAGATTAATGAGACATCTTTGTATGCATCTAGAACTGACTGTAGGGAGAGAAATTTAAAATTGAATTTTTGTAATTATGTTGAGATTTGCTTCAACTATTTTGATCACCAAAAAGTCCCTGACCCCGAGTTAGTCATGCGCTGTCTGCTGGAGTTAGATCCATTGCATGTCAACTGGAATGTTATGAGTCACAAAGACAGCCCAGATAAAGGTAGTCTTTGGGTTTTTGATGCTACTCCAGACTGGCTTGATAAAATGGGAATGGTGACCACCTTTGAAAAATATTCCCCATTTTGGTGTTTTGTTTTAGCTGTAAGGGATTTGCCTGTAGGAGAACCAATACATTTTGGCTTTGAGGTTTATAATCCTCAAAAGTTAGTCAGGCAATTTGGTCTATGCTAATATCTTGATGTTCCCTTAATCACCACTTGTAACATGCCTTGGGAGTCAAGGCCAATATTCAATGAAGAAGATGTTTGGGCTAGTAATTCCCTTGAATATCCTTCAATTGAGTTGCTACTTTGAAAGTCATGCAACATGTTCTCCTTAAGTTATCTCGAATGGTGGTATCATGGGACCACTTCAAGGTCATGCTGTTGAAAATGCCAAGGCACACTTTGTTGTGAGTGTGGCAGGCTACAGAGGTATTGCTTCTTCCCATAATCATTCCAATTTCATCCTTCATTCCCACTCACAATCTACATTTCAAGTAGAAATTTATTTTTATTTTCAGTTTTTGTTAATTGGAAGTTTGGAACAATGTATTGAGTGATTTTTTTTATTTTTTTTTTATTTTTTTATTTTGTGTAACTTTTTAAAAAATTGAGAATTGTTGCAAATGTATTATGTTGAATGTTATTTTTCAAATTAATGAGATATTTTAAACTATGGCATTAGAATTTCCCAAAAAAAAAAACCCCAAAAAAAATTTAAAATAAAAACCCATAAAGTGAACCGAACAGGTTTAAAGGAAAATAAGAAATAAATAATTTCCTTCCAGGTCAATAATTTAGCTAGTTTTGGAATTAAAATTTATAATTAGCCGTTTTAGTAAATACTTTTGTATCAAATTAGCTATTTAGGTAAAATATCCGAATTGGATCTAGTTGAAACTTCAAGCTTACAAGCAGAAATTTGTTAAATAAAGGAGTTTCTAATGAGAAGATGTCATCTAGATTCTATGGCCCTTTTCAAATTATTGAGGCTGTAAGAAGTGTTGCTTACAAACTGAAGCTCCCTCAAGATGGTCAAATTCACCCTATATTTCATGTTTCTCAATTGAAGAAGTTTCAAGAAAACATTCCTGCAATAACACACATTCCTAGTTGGCTTCATAGGAAAGTGCAGAGGAGGAATGGGAAACTAAAGCTACTTTGGAGAGGACTATTAAGCATCACAATACTTGATTAAATGGAAAAAATTGCCTTGTTACAGAGTCATCTTGGGAGTTTGCTTAAGACTTTGAAGAAAGATTTCCTACATTTAATGTGTCAACTTGAGGATTGTTGGATATTTATTTTCATAAATATATTTTGTATTAATGAATAATTATTTATCTATAGAATAATAATGTAGAGTATTGTTGTATGACTATTTGGATTGTATAATTGAATAATTGTAACTTTTCATTGATAATTTTAATGTGAATTGTTGTGTTATTTCATTCACTCTTCATTAGTTATAATGAATAGTTGTGTTGTTTCATTACTTGCGCCTTTTCATCCATGTTTCTTTTTCTATAAATAGTTGTTGGTTGTTCTGATTTAGGGTACTTAATATTAGTTTTATTTACTCTCTCTTAAAAATACATGCATATAATTGCGGTTACTCTAATCTAGTTTGTTCGCTGGCTTCTTATAATTACAATACCATTTTATAAGAAACTAAACCCGTTCTATTGTAGGAGACAATTGCTTAATAACATTGGGTATCATAGAGGGAGTAAAATTGTCTTAAGGACACCACGTGATTTGTTGGGCTCAGGTCATAATAGTTTACATTTTACATTAGTTATAAAGGTATGTGTTATGTTTTATTTGTTTTATATAATAGATATATAATTGTTTAATTTTTAATACTTGTTTTTGTATATTTTTAATAATTGTGTTAACGGATGAGCATTGTAATAGGAGTTAGTTAAGTAGAGCTGAGTTGACAGGTTATTAACTGAGTCAGCATAGTTTGTTTTGTTACGTTATTAGAGATGTTGTTAGTGCATCATAGGTTATAAATAGCCTTTTTCAATAAAATATTATCTTCAAACAATATCAATCGAACAATAAAATATTTTTAGAAATTTTTTTGTTATTACTATGTTAAGCAAAGAAAAAATAAAACAATTATCTTCAATCAATATCAATTAAACAATAAAAAAATTTCAGAAGATTTTAGCTATAAGACATTGATATATCCGTGCATTGGCACAATTGAAAACTAATGGGATACGTATTTTAAAATAGAGGGAGTAATAACAATAATAATATCAACTCATCTATATAAACCCAGTAAAACCCATCTTCTTTCATCCTCTCAAACTTCCAACCCAGAAAAAAAAACCCCGGTTCAAAAAACCCTCCAAAAATGTCAGCCCAGTTCATCGAAAAATACCGTGAAAACGCCGAAATATACACCGGTTCAGACATCTGCAAGCAAAAATCAAAAGAACTATTACTCGAAATCAACATGCCTAATGGTCTACTACCAATGGATGATATTGAAGAAGTTGGCTATAATCGATCAACCGGGTTCGTATGGTTGACCCAGAAAAAACCGATTCAACACCGGTTCACAAAGATTGGTAAGCAAGTATCCTATGATACTCATGTCACTGCTTTTGTTGAGAATCGTAAGATGAAGAAACTTCATGGAGTTAAAGCTAAGGAGATTTTGATTTGGATTACTCTTAATGAGATTTGTATTGATGATCCTAGTTCTGGTAAAATTACCTTTGGTACTCCTACCGGTATTTCTCGTATTTACCCGATTTCGGCTTTCGAGGTTGAAGAGGATGAGAAGAAATGAGGTGTATCGTGTAGCTCATCTAGTGGCGAGATGGGATATGAATATATGATACTAGTGGTAAATCTAGTAATTGTTTTTACTTTGGCGGAACTCGATTTATGTCAATGTATTATTTTCGGCTTGTTTAACATATGAAAATTCGGGGCATTGCTTTCTAATCAATCATTAGATGATTAGTAGATGTGTTTGTCTACTATTCCACGGAAATATAGGTGTAAGCTATATAATGTATGCAACTATGTCTATGAAATGATTGAAATCTATCTATGATTGAATAAATTGAATTATGTAACATTATTATTAAATAGTTATCATCGATGGAGTACCTTATCTTTTGTTATCTTACTTGTTTTAAAAATCAAAATAGATTCAATTTTCTTCCTCTACCTGTAAAATTGGGATTATCAACAAAATGTTGGCCTAATGATAACTGAGAAATCTTTCAAATTTAAGTTGGAGGTCAAGAGGCAAACTTTTAGAGCAAAGCCATTAGTTGTCCTAGCCAATGGTGGTCATCAACTTTTTAAATTAGTATTTCCATTGGTTTTCCTCTAACGATTTATGATCATATATACTCATCAAAAAATAAATAAAATAAAATAAAACTAACGGCCTACTTATACCATGGCAAGTAGCACACATATCCATATATTTAGTATGAAATATTATTTAATTTTTAGCCCTAAAGTATTAAAATTTATGAATTAATGTCAAACTACCTAATATGAATTTTCATATAATTTAGGTATTAAATTCCTATGAATTAATCCTAATTATTATTTTTATTATTATTTTAATCAAGGGTTTTCAAGTAGCTATCCAAATAAAGGTTGTTTGAGCATAATTAATGAGTTTTCAGATTTATTTTAGAGGTTTTAATTTATGAAAAGTTGCTTCGAATTATGTTCAATAATGAAGTAATGTTTGGTGATGAGTATCTTATTTATAAGATACTTTGATTTGAGTGAGATTTTGCATTCTGGCAATTTTAAGAGCGTCCTTAATATGTAGGTAGTATATTCTTAGATAGTTTAGTATCATGTTACTATGTTAGTATGTTGTTATTTAATTGATCAATCATGCTTAGTATCACTACGATTGTTGTGATGATTTGCTTGAATATGTGGAGTTTCATGTCCTGTTTATTGTTATGCAAGTATGTTTGGGATCATGGATTTCATTTGAAATCCTAGAATTACCGAATTAGACCATTTAACTTATTTGGATAATTCAAGAATTTGGATTTGCATTTGGTCCAAATCCAAGCCTTTAGAGAAATAAGGCTGATTCATTTTAATTTCAAATTCCATCTCAAATGTTGTCATTTCAATTTCTTATGCAGCTCTCTCTCCTTTCTCTCTCCTTGGCAGCCATTAGAGGAAGCTCAATATTTGGCAATTACCTCATAAATTAAAGCCAAAAATAGTCAGAGAAATATTTTTCTCTCTCCTCTCCCAAACTCATTCTCTTTCTTCCACGACCGTCCCAAACACGACTCTCTTCCTTCGCTACCACCACCATAACCACCACGATTCTCTCTCCACTAAATCAAATCGCCGGCTGCCTACAACTTCTTCCCAACGCTAATTTATCATCTTATCGAGTTTATCCTGAAAATTCAATTCCTTGACTCCAAATTCCACACACCTCCGAATGTAAGTTGGAATTTGAAATGTTGGAGTTGAAATTCTGAAGTTTCCCAAACACATTATGATGGAATTGAATTCTGCGATTTCAAATATTGAAATTGAATTCCACCATTTGAAATAAATTTCATGCTTCCAAACGCAACCTAAGTTTATTTTCTAATATGAATCAAGTGCATTAGTTTTTTGTTATATGAGAGTTTAGTATGAATTATTGTGTTGTTTGATTCATAATAAAGGAGGAAAGGATCTTGAAAGTCATTCTCTCTCTAAAAAAATAAGAACACTCTGATCTCTCTACCCTATCTCCCTCATCCAATTCCCAACAAAACCCAAGGTGTGCTCGCCAGCTTCAGGCGCCGTCAACCCTGGTCTTCGGAGAGCCTCTAACAACAAGGATCATAGATTAAGTATTTGGGCTCACAGTAGAGAAGAAGACGAGTGGAAGATAATTGCATAATAATTATGCTTTACATCAATACAATTTATGCTCTGCTAAGAATCACCTGTGGAAGATAATTGCATTATAATTATGCTTTACATCAATACAGTTATATGATCTGCTAACAATCACCAATGGAAGATAATTGCATACGAAGTAGTAATTATGCTTTACATCAATACAAAACAGCGAAATTAACACAGATTGCAACTGACCACCCCATCTCAAAAAAAATTCTCCCAAAATATTTGGTTTGTGCTGCAACTTAAGACCGCATCACTAGCCGGGGCAGCATTTTGGGACTTTCACAATCGTTATAGTTTAAACGGTTAAACCTGAGCATTTGATAGCTTAATTGATGCAGTTCAAACCAAAAACCATAGCCTAATAGCCCATATATGCTGCAGTTCATGCCAAAAGCTGGAGCATTTGTGAGCAATTGAAGCGCAACATTTGAGATTATAATTTTTTTTAATAATATAGCTTTAATAAAGTTATAAACTACATTATTCCTATTTTTTATGAACCTAGCCATATATGGATACACAAATGAACAAGCTAATGCAGCAACAAACTTTAATGGTATAGCGAAAATACGACAGACAAAACTACCAACTGCCACATCAGAATAAAGCCAGCAATATACCATACTCTCATCCCTAGCTGCCATAGCTTACAGTTGCTCCCCAGCAAAAACACTGATACAAGGCTGAAAACCTGAAAATACAAAATGTTGGACATACACTGATCGTCTCCGTTCAATAAATAAACTACAAGCTGATTTATATCTATTTGTGCAGGATGTTATCAGCAAATTCAAGGTAAAAGTAAAAAGCAAAATTTAGGTTATTCATTTTCATTGTTGATTCTGACTAAAGTCACAAGGACTTATGCTTAACCATAAACTACGTATGAATTAATAAGTTAGTTTTGTCAAATTTAAAAGAAAAAAAACTTACCATTGCATAGAATGCACAATAACTGCTATTTATACATGTATTGCAGAGTATGCAAAATGATCAAAGAAAATTAAACTAGATCAATCAGGGATCAACAGTCATCGTTTAAGCTATGATGTTATCCCATCTAATATGTATATGCACCACAGACCCACATATACTTAGAATAGCATGAGCCAACAAATATGGGGAAAAAAATTGGCATTGACGTGCATACTGAAATCAGAAAAAAAAAATAAATAAATAAAATAAAATAAAATAAAATAAAATAAAATTCTGGGCATTTTAAGTACTTGTTTTTGCGAGTGAAATAACTCTACATAGACCTTTGTTATAAGAGAGTGGATCCTTAAACAAGTCCCCTAATTTTGTTTACATACAGGTGCAAATTAATTATCAAAAAAATCATAGGTGAACGAATCTAGTCTTCTTCTCATATGTCTGATTAGAAAACAAAGGTAGAACAAAGCTCGTCTTTTTTCAATGATTCTACTCTTTTTGTTCTGTGAGTATTCATAACTACCTTCTTGTTCTACTAAGTAAACATAACTCCACTATTCTTCCCCTTTTTTATGAGGGGAAGGACAAATAATGCATGACACCATTGAACAATCAAATATAATACAAGTATAAGATATGGGCACTTCTAAATAGAAATTAAAAAAAAAAAATTGCCAAAGTCGAAAACTTGTTCATCAGATAATCAAAAGAAGCAGAAAGCATGATAATATGCATCGTTAAGATATAAAGATAACAATCCCATCTGTCCAGCAATCAATATAGCAGCACCAACAGTAATGTTTTAAGCAGACTTGTACACATTAGTTGACTTTTCTGAAAGTGGAGTCAATCAAATTATTTACATATGTAATGACTTTAACTGAAATAATTAACTCAACAATGTCAGCTCTCCTTCAGTGGTTATCATATGCATTCTTGAAAGGACAGAAGGAACACAGGATACTCCTAAAAGCCGCTTACATGACTAACAGGTTGCAAGGCACTTTTCAATACAGATCATGTGTTTAAGTCAATTCATTAAACTAATGTTCATATCTGTCTTTATTGATATTGTGAGCACCTTATAGATTTCAAGTATAAATTATATTAAAAGAAGCAAGAGTTTATAGGTCACCTTTTAAGGTATGCATTAGGATGTTCCGCCCACCCCAACAATTGTGCCAGATGACCTGTTATATTTTATAGTCACAATATAAGTATACCAACAACCCGAAAAGTTATAAAGTATAAGACAATTAAAACAAGCATCAATGCTCAACATATTAATGACAAGATAATCATTATTCACTTGACCTGTATCTTGGTGTAGCAGATAAATCTCAACACTGTCTAACAGACAAAGTAAAATGGATGAGAATTATGATCCAAAAGATCGTCTACAAGTATAACTTCCTGCGAAAATGGACACCAAACAAAGTAATGATATTATGATGTCTGGATGAGCAATAGAGACTGACAAGAACAATGGATTAGGCTATTCTTCATTTCTTTGTCCAAATGTCTTTATAATTGGAGCTCGGAGCAATAAATCTCAAGCGTTGAAAAGAGAAGAGGTTTTTGACATTAAACAACGATGTTAATTACATTTTAAAAGGTGAAAATTATCACGATCAATTTAAAATCTCTTAGCACTTCATAGTCTCTCAGCCACAAACCATTATCATGTATATGCCCCAATTAATTGTGCCACTTCCCATTTGACATGCAGGCTACTACCAGTAGACAATATGAAAAACATACAGCTCCAAAAACGTAACCTGTGTAAGCAAATTTTTTATTGGTCAATGCTAGCAAGTACATACATAATCAATCCATTAGGCTAAGCAACCCACATTATAAAATTCGAAACTTGAATGATGGAATTGCTATGTGTAAAGCTAAATTTTTTTAACAGATTAAGCTTTTCACGAATTTAGAAGATAGCGTGGAAGAATCCTACAAGCCAAAAAGTAGGAATCAAGGGTGGTGATGGACAAACTGGACAAGCAATTCAGATTGGTATGTTGAAACTTGAATGATGGAATTGCTGCTACCTATAACATAGGTTACCATTCAAATCAGTTAAGCTGATGCTAAAGCAGAAAACAGAGAACATGTGTCCGTGCTTTAAGCTTTAGGCCCTATGGCAAATACCAACTAGCTATCAAGCCCTGGTAGGAAATGTAATTGGTTCAAATCACGGTGTTCATAAACTTGGATGCTAAGCCTGCAAAAAAAAGGGGGAAACAAGAGGGATAAACCAGTAGAACTTCAATTGAAAACACAGAATCAGGAAAAAAAAAAAGTGCCAAACAAGAAGATAAACAAAATTGACTACTGTGGTTATATTTTACAGCAACCCAGCCATAGGAGCTGCCAAAGAAAATAGAATAACACACACACAAGCATGAAATGCATCAGATTTGGCGGAGAATGACAAAAACACTGTATATATGTGAAATAGCCAATAGAGCAGTAGTAGCATGTTATGTGAATTTTGAATGAAGTTTAGTTGAGAGAATTGTAGCCTCAAGCTGCTATGGGAGACTCATAGCCTAAAGATATCTCTTTTGTATCCAAACTTCTGCCATTATCAATCAAAGACTCAAGCTTTTATCTTTAAAATTTCTTGTTCAATAGAAAATCTGAAAATCCTAGTCTATTACAACTTGGTATCAGAGTGGTCGATCATGGTGACCACCACGATGCAGCGACTGGACGGATTGGAGGAAAAGGTACATGGGTTGGAAGCCAAACTCGCTGCCATTGATGGAAAGCTTGCAACACAGGAGAGTTCCCTCAGTAAGGTAGTGTCTGAAGCCATTAGCAAGGCTATGGAAACTGCCCAGCAAACTATACAGCAGCTAATCACCACCCTCATGGAGGCTGAGAGGAAGACGCAAGAAGAAAATGCCAGGAGGTTGGCGGGCTAGATAGACCGCTTCCGGGAGCACCACAAAACTCAGGCCGCCCTAGAGAGGCAAAATAATGAGAAGTTTAAGATGGAACTGAGGGCCTTGGCTAAGGGGCCGCTGACCGGTCAGAACCCACCATTAGTCCACCTTGAAGGGGAGTGCAACCAGGTGAATGGAGCCTACGAAGTCAGAACACCGATAAGAAGGGAAGAAGAGAGGGAATATGAGTGGGTAAGGCCAAAGAGTGTGGGCTGGCAGCGGAGGTTGCAGCAATGGAGGTGGAGATAGTTGGAAGCATAGGAAACTGGAAATGCCAATTTTTGAGGGGGAAGATCCAGACAACTGGATTGCTAGGACACATTTTTACTGCTTTTATGGTCTTTTTGTCGCTAGTTTAGAGTCATTTATTCATAAGTTACCATTATCGTGCTGTATAATGCTCCGTTTCTGTTTTCTTAATATTTAATGTAGTTTTCATATCTATTTGGATGTTGCGGAAGAATTCAGCATTTAAAGAGTAATTGTTGGATGGAAGGATGTTGATTTCAGGCCAATGACTCATTGACCTTGTGCTTATATATGTCTCTAGATCCCTAAAAGCAACTTGGAGTTGTTCCATAGCCTTTATTGCAAGCACGAGCTCGTATTAAGCTTTCGATGCATCGACAAGCGAAGGGATATGCCTTAGTCGTAAGTCCAAGGAGTAGCTAGCTATTGCTCGCTAGCTAATCATTATCGTGCCCAATGTCCTATGCGAGCTATAGCTTGCTCGTCAGCGAGATATAGGTCGACCTTGCTACCTTCACGCAAATGTTTAGCGATAGCTCACTCACAAAGAGCTCGTGTTGCTCAATCGCTTCTTAGCCGTTTGACGTGATCAAGTCGAGTATCATACCATGTCATCCCTTATCATCCAATAGCATCATAGCTTATGTATTCATTTATTATTTTCACTTAGGATTAGGCAAGAATATAAATACTTGAGAGGATTTTATTTTTCCTCTTATGTTTTAGTTTAGATTAAACGCTTCTTTAGTTTTCTTTCTCCAATGTTGAACCCTAGTTTATTGTACTTATTCAATCATTCGCCTTTTATTTTATTGATTATGCTTTCAAGTTTATTTATCACTTTTGTCTTGTTTATTTCAATTATGAGTGAGTAGTCGTTTTCTAGGGCTAAGTCATGTTTATACCTTTTATTTGTGCTTTAGGATTTAGAAATTAATGAATTAGGGTTTGAGTAATTCCAATTGATTTGTACTTTATTGTTTGATTCATGTAATTCGCTAATATCATGAGTTCATTATTTAGCTAATAAAAATTAGAATTGAAAGATATTTTTAGAGACTTAATTACAATTGGCAAATTTGAGCAGGTTAGCTGCCGACCTACATATGTTAATTCGTAAGCGTTAACTCCTAATCGTAGGATTAACAAGTGTTATAACTATCTGACCTACTTTGTTAATTAATGAATTGTTTTGCATTTCTTGGATTGGTATGAGCATGGTGGACCAAACGTATGCCCTAGACCTTTATTTATTTGAGAACAACCTTATTTTCAATATTGTTCTAGTATAGTTAATTGATTATCAAATCACTTATCGTATTTTGAAATAGTTAATAATAATTGGGCAAAAACTAATAGCCTTGTGGGATTTGACTCGTATTTGCTAAATCTCTACTAACAATAGACACCGTGCACTTGCGGTATAACTTTTTATTCATCAAATTTATGGTGCAGTTGTCTCATTGCACTTGCGGTATAATTTTATTTTATTTTTTTTTATTTTTTTTTTTGTTTATGCCCATGTCAAAATGGACAGGTGACTTGATCCCTATGGATACCGACTTAAACAAGACCCTTAGGCGACTCAAACAAGGGAAAGGAAAGTAGAAAAACACTCACTCGCAGAAGAGTCCTAGAACACAGTCTGATATACAACAAGAGATGACTGATAATAGATCTCCTAATTCTTTTGGGGCACGGTATAACATTGTAGAGAACTTTGAAATCAAACCTGCATTATTAGTATGGTCTAACAAAATCAATTCAGCGGTCATCCTACTAACTGAGCCAACTAATCACTTGCAGCGATTCCAACAATTATGCTCCACTGTTCATCACAAAGGAGTCACTCAAGATCAATTGAAAGTGATGTTCGGATTTTCTCGAAACTCTTCAAGCATACCTTTAAGAGTGCTTTCCTCCCGAAAAAACCGAAAAGATTCGGCACATGGGGAATCTCTTAGGGAAGCATGAGATAGATTCTTGGATCTTCAACGTTCATGCCCTCATTAGAACTTTAAGAAGTGGAATCCTGTTTGTATCTTCTATAACGGACTAGAACCCGAGACCAAATGTATTGTTAACTTAGCACAAGTGGTGTGTTTCTTTTCTTGACAAAACGATTGAAGAACGGTATGATTTTCTTGCTAATCTTGCATCTAACTAATTCTCCTCTCTAGAGCTAAGAAAGGGAAGATGGAAGTTGAAGCCTATTCACTCATGACATCTCAAATTGCTCCGCAAAGATAGATGCATTACAGGCACACAAGACTCCTCTCTTATATCTATTAATGCTATGTCTTCTGCAAACGAATTTTACTGTGAATTATGTGGTATATAAGGTCACTTTAGATATCAATGTGCTCAAAATTCTCAATACACTAATCAAATGGAGCAAGTGAATGCCTTTCAACAAAGGCAACCAAATGATCCATATTCGAACACATATAATCCAGGTTGGAGAAATCATCCCTACTTTTCATATCGAAGCAACAATGTTCAAAATCCTCAACCTGTTACAAGGCCTCCACTCAATCAACAAGGAACCTCTCATCACACTTCTCTTGAATTCAATAGGTCACCTTAACAACAACCTTCTCAAGGCAATGCTAGCACTCAAGAGCCTACTATGTTTAACCTAATGAGAATGATGGTATCCATGAAGTAAACAAGGAGTTGAAAAACATGACAAACCATTCGGGGAACCAACTCGCATAAGTAACAAGTACCAATATTCAAAGACATCTTGACCACTTATCGGAACAACCCGTCCCTAAGGAGACCGCTAATGCTATTATTACTCGTAGTGGTGTTAGCTATGAAGGGCCATAAATGCCTATTGATGATGTAACTCTTGTGAAGAAGAGTGATGTTATAGAGGAGGTACAGGATGATGTTCCCACCTCAGAGGATGGGAAAATTAAAGTAAGTGATGCTGAGAAAGAGAGATAAAAAGGATCCAAGCCTTCATAACCATAGCTACCATTCCCACGCCAGATGCAAAAGACCAAGGTAGATCAACAGTTCGGCAAGTTCTTGGCTATGGTCAAGAATCTGGTAGGAAACCATTCCTTTTCCAGATTTGGTCTCTCAAATTCCAATGTATGCAAAGTTTTTAAAGGAAATGATTACTAAAAAGAAAGACTTTGGTGGTGTTGGAACAGTTGCTCAAACTACAAACTGTAGTGCCATACTACAAAATAAATCCCCACCTAAGCGTAGGTGCATTATTTATTGATAAATCTTTATGTGACTTAGGTGCTAGTGTGTTATGCCTCTTTCTGTTTGTAAGAGGTTGAATATGGGAGCTTTAGATCACACAAATAACTTTGCAAATGGTGGATCGCTTTATAAATACCCTTTGGGGGTTTTAGAGGATGTCCCCGTTCAGGTTGGAAAATTTTACATTCTTGTTGACTTTGTAGTTTTGGATATGGAGGATAGTCAAATCTCGATCATTTTAGATAGACCTTTCTTATGTATTCCAGGTGTTGTTATTGATGTCAAGTCGGCCTGTCTTACATTGTCTATTGGTGATGATATAGTGAATTTTAAACTAACTAACGCAATGAAGTCCCGTAAGAATACTTGTAGGATTAATGTGATTGATGAGATTACAAGAGACCATATGTTGCTTGATGATCCATTAGAAGCAGTTCTCACCTTGGAGGTTTCTAAATAGAAGGAGATGCTGAGATTGACTCCTTAATTCATGACTTGGTCACGCGGGTTTCTATTACCGATTGATAAAAGATTTTTCAAAAATAGCAAAACCATTCACTCAATTGTTGCTTAAGGATGCCTCATTTGAGTTTACTGATGCTTGTATGGAGTCTTTTAACAGGATCAAAGAAGCATTAATAACTGCTCCGATCTTACAACCTAGGATTTACCATTCGATATCACGTGTTATGCTGCGAGAGTCGTGCTCAAGCAAAGGAAAAACAAGGTTTTACATGCCATCTACTATGATAGTAAGACCTTAAATGAAGCTAAGATGAATTATGCTACCACTGAGAAGGAGCTATTAGCGATCGTTTATGCTATTGACAAGTTTCAAACTTATCACATTGGTTCGAAAGTGATTGTTCACACCGACCATGCCGCCCTCAAATATCTTTTGGCCAAGAAAGGCTAAACCGAGGCTCATTCGATGGATTTTACTCCTTCAAAAGTTTGATTTAGAGATTCGAGATAAAAGAAGGGTGCCGAGAACATCATTGCAAATCACCTCTCTCGATTGAGATTAAAGTCTACTTCAAATGGCCTTATAGATGACTCTTTCCCTGAAGATCATTTATTCTTATGCTAATTTTTGTGTAGGTGGTTCACATCCAACATATTTGACTTACCAACAACGCAAGAAGTTTTACCATGATGCTAAGCGACACTTTTAGGAATATCAATATTTGTATCGTAAGTGTGTAGATGGGATGTTTTGCAAATGTGTAGCGGATTGTGATACTCATGAAGTTCTTCATCAATGCCATAATCTACATTCTAGTGGACATCTTGGTTCTATTGCGACTACCTATCTAGTGCTTCAATGTGGTTATTATTGGCCTTCGTTATTCAAGGATGCTCGTGCCTTTTGCAATGCATGTAATGAATGCCAGGTAATATTTCAAGGAGGCAAAATATGCCAATTGGAGTTGTCACCGTGCTTCTCTAGATCATCACTCAATAAGGACCACAAGTGTAGTAGATCTTTAGTGCACACTAGACTCGTATCTTTTTTAGGATAAAATACACCCTTAATTACACTATAAAGAATCCTCATGGTTGGATTAATAATGGACGATGACTAGCTATGACTAGGTTGCCAATCTTCCCTATTAGTAATTTCAAGCCAAAATTTAGCACCATAAAATAGATCCTCTTTTTTAACCAGTCTATTTGGAAAAGTGTTAAATTGTTCGAGTGAATCACTCCTTTTTGTTTCCAACCAAAACATCATTCAACCACCGACATTGTCGTGCAACTCCATTAAGTTGATATGTCATACAATTTCGGATAAGATTTCAAATTCCCATTGACTTCAAGAGAAGAAGCCAAAAATTCACAAATCTTTATAGGAGTACTCGAATATTAGGAATTTCTCCCGTGAACAAGAAGATAAGGCCCATACAATCCTCCAATGAAAACCCAACTTTCCAGCATCTTTCTTTGAATAGAACAATGTAGGCTTTACGGGATGGGTAAAAATGTTGGCTAGTCGACATTCATAGGCGGGATTAGGGAAAAAGAGTCGGATTTCAGATTGAGTTGGGGGATAGGAGTGAGAATCATATTTGGGGAAGGTGACGGTTTGAGGGGGTTTGGCAGGAGTTTCTTCGTAGAGATTGGCTTGTTTTGTGGTATTGGTTTAGTGGCATTTTGTTTAGGATTAGTTCTCTTGTTAGCAGTCATGATTGAAAATAATCACAAGAACAATTGCAAAACTTTCAAAGCTTCACCGATTAGGGACACAAACCAAAAAATCACAAGAAAATTAATCAAACGAATTCCAACAATGCACAACAAAACCATCCAAGATGCAATCAAGAATCAATAATTTAGAAGAACCAAGCAAAGGCATAACAAGTCCTAGAAAAATCACAATTCACGAATAGGGTGAAAGGTATAATGTAATTCAATCACAAAACCTTTATTGAAGGCAAATCCAACAAAATGCATCAAAATGAACCAATCAAATTTATCCAACTACCAATCCTCCCTAACGATCGTCAAACAAAGCAAACCACAAGTGTATATGGAATTCATGATTAATGCTCACACTCTTTACTCATTCTTGTGCGGATATAAAATGTACTCGATCTCTCTCCATCCAACCCCTTTAATGTGAACAATGCCCTCCAAACTCACATGTATTTAAAAAGACAAGCACTAATATGAATATGTCAAATCATTCTTTGCATTGATAAACAACTAATTTCACATTCATATAACTCTATGCACAAAGGTCAGAAGGTCTTCAAAGCTTGTAATGAAAGGCTAGGGTGAAAGGCAGGATAAATTTGGGAAAATGTGAGGGTTAAACTATGCTTTAGGAAGCCAAAATCCTAGTAAATAAAAGCAAGTTTATAAAATAAATAATGACCAAAATATCTCCAACACAACTCAACTCTACCAAAATTCACCAAAACAAAATAATTTCCACCAATTTTTTGTAGCTCACATAACATCACTCAAAATAATTTATATACAATGAACAACAGAGTGAAACAAACTTTGAATTTCTAATTCACAACCAACTTGAATTCTAATTTTCTTTGGAGCAATGTTACAAGGTTCGCGGTACAGAGGCCCGAATTGCGACTTGATTCGTTCATACCGGAACGCGGTACAAACGTGACTCAGATCGCTTGTGGTCGCGACCCAGATTGTTAAATTGACGACCTGATTTCAAAGAATGAGGCTATGCTTATGTGTTTTTAGGGTTAAAGGTCGAGTGTTGAAGCTTCAAAAATGGTGAGAGACATAAGAGACAGGAGAGAGGAGAGAGAAATCAAAACATTGGATACTACTTTTTTTTATTAATAAATTAAGTGAAAATTAAGAAAAAAAAATTAAAAAAACAACCTTAAATAAAATATAGACAATTGGACCCCACACTCCCACCCTTTTACAGCTTTACTTACCCTTTATGGTTTTTAAAAGATATCAGATACGAGAATACGATTGATCCAAGGGCAAGGCAGTATTTTTATTTTTTTCAAAATACAGACTATATACTTCTTCGTATTTCAATATATATATATATATATATATATATATATATATATATATATATATATATATAATCGTACCTGAATCACCAAAGGGCAGCGTTCCGCGTATTCGTTTTCCTACCCCGTTTCGAATCATATCACGTACCTTGTAACATTGCTTTGGAAACCTTCACTAGAACATTTGAACATAAACTTTGAAACTCACTTTTGTTCTCTTTTTTTTTTTTCCTCTTTCTTGAAGTTCACTTTATTTCTTCTTTTATTTTTTCACATATTATTTTCAAGAATTTTCAATTTTCACAATTTCAAACCCATCAAAAATAATCCACAATAAAACAAACTTTAAAAACCCACCCACATTGTGCAATAATAACGCACACTACAAACCCCCTCATCCAGGCCTGTCTTAGACATTTTGGAGGCCCTGCTCTATTCTTAAACACTAGGCCCTATTTTAAACAAATGTAAGAAATTATTATCATTTATTTACCAAATTAAGCACTAAAACTCAAATAACTTGATAAGCTCTGCAAGAAATTTCAACCATAGCAAAAAAATTGGACATAATTTTACAAAAAAAAAAAAAAAAAAAAAAAAAAAAAAAAAATTGTGGTCAGAAATTTCGCATGCAGATATCCAAAAGCAAAAGAATGAAGCAAAGGGAATTGGAGAATGGTGGAATAAATATAATGATGTATGATAATGTAACTGATTTCATTCCCTTTTGAAATAGATGATTGAGAATTTTTCTTGCATTGGTGGTATTAAACAATCCTAAAAAAATAATAATTAAAAAAAAAACCTTCGTAGAAGTTTAAAAAATTAAAGAGTTAGATTCTTCACCGTTGCTAATAAATTTTTGAGAATGAAAAGTGAAAGTGTTTAATGAAACTGTTGGGTATAACAAGAAAAAACAGTATGTGGTCAGTTTTTGTCAAAAAAAAAAAGTACAGTATGTGATGAAATTATAGGTTGTATGGAATTTAGAAGGTTTTAATTTCTAAAGTTAAATTATGTGAATTAATCTAAGGCCCTATTCTTTAGAGCCGTTGTGCTTTGCTTAGTCCGACTCTGTGCTCTGCTGTGCTTAAAAATAATAATTAATATTGAATTATTATAATAATAATTAATATTTAATAATAATAGTAATAATAGTAATAATAATAGTAATAACAATAATGATAATAATAATAATTATTAATAATAATAATAATAATAATTGATTTATAATAACAAATATTTAAAGATAATAATTGTTAATTTTTAACAACAACAACAACAATCACAAGAATCTACTCTACTAATCTATACTAATCTACTCTACTCTGCTGACTCCTGCTTTGTTCGTGCCCAGAAGCTCAAAAGAACAAGGCCTAACTCTTTGAGAATTGTGTTAATTCAACAGCAGAAGGCACATTGACTTCTACGGAGTACTTTTCTAGGATAGTTAATACAAAAACGTTGGGCTTCAAATACAGGAATAATTTTATTATCTTGGGTAATTGGGCTCCAAATTTTTGAGGCCTTAAAACATCCGGGGACCCTAAGGGCCAGGATGCACAGGGCCTTAGCTGGCTCTGCCCTCACCTCACTCACTATTAGCTCTCCCAAGCCAAGCTTGGGACTAGTAATCAATAGGGCTAAAATAGGCTTGTAATCTAGCTAAAACAACAAAAAGAGCAAGGCAACAACATGGGTAGTAATAAGGGAACAAATGTTTCTATAATCACCGAATGCTACCTAAAAGAGCAAATGTCTTCATCCTCCTCAATGTGCATAATAATGAGTCATACAAACATTACTCAAAGTTAAAAACCAATACTTAACTTCATTGACTTATCAGGAAAATAATATACACATTTCCTAACCAAATCAACTAGTCAAGCACCAAATCCACAAACAGATGAACAAAGTTAACTCATATTAAGGCATCAAAGCAATCAAACATCAA